TTCGCCACTGCACTCCAGTCTGGGCGACAGAGTGAGACTCCAACTCAAAAAAAAAAAAAAAAAAAATTTTCTAGCCTCAAGGCTTTTGCCTTGAGTGTTTGAATGATTGGCTCATTTTCCTCCTTCTGGTCTCAGCCCAGTATCATGTCTTCAGAAAAACCTTCTCCAAGTCCATTGTCCCCCATTAACAGAGCACCTTCACTTACCTTCTTTCTAGACCTCATCCCCACTTGTATTTTTAAAAATTTGCTTATGTTTGATTTTTTTTAGTCTGCTGTACCGGTATGTAAGTTTCAAGAGGGCAAGCTCTTTGTCTTGTTCTTGCTCTGCATTGTATTTTTAGAGTTTGCATGCCTAGCATGTATGTATATATGTGTGTTGAATATTTCCTTTAATACTGGAAGAGTGGACCCTGGTGACTAACCTAATTATAGTCCATTTTGTATTATTCCCTGATTGCCCCAGTGATCCTAAGCTATTTGTGGGTATGAGCTAAATCTTACACATTTGCTCTCTGTACCCAATAGGTGCTTAGCAAATACTTACTATATTGAATTGATATGACTTTCAGGATCTGTACTCTGAAAATGCCTCATAGAAAGTAATAGCCATGTTCTCCAGCTGAGCATTCATTGATTTAGATAGAACCGGGATGAACTGATCTTTCATGTGTCTCATGTTCTCAAAGGGTCATTTTATGCTGTCATTCTCAGTCTCCTGGGAGGGAGTGTGAAGATGCTTAAAGAGCGACCGGGGATGGCAGAAGACCCTCAGCAGCAAATGGGTGTTCCTGTGGTGAAACTGGAGAAAGAGTTGCCATGGGGCAGGGGAAGGGAAGACTCCAGTCCTGAGGCTTTTCGCCTGAGGTTTCGGCAGTTCCGCTACCAGGAGGCAGCTGGACCCCAGGAGGCCCTCAGGGAGCTGCAAGAGCTCTGTCGTCGGTGGCTGCGTCCCGAGCTGCACACCAAGGAGCAGATCCTGGAGCTGCTAGTGCTGGAGCAGTTCTTGACCATCCTGCCCCGTGAATTCTACACCTGGATTCGGGAGCATGGCCCGGAGAGTGGCAAGGCCTTGGCAGCCTTGGTGGAGGACTTGACAGAAAGAGCGCTGGAGGCCAAGGCGGTGGGTGAGAAGGGGATCCAGGCCTTGTGTTGTTGACATGGGAAGGGAGTTTTAAAGAACTGAAAGATTTAGGAAGCAGTGGGAGTGGTTGAGGGATAGCACCTCCCTTCCAGATGCCCTGAGATACTTTTTGGAGGACAGTGGAGTTTTTAGCAAGTAGAGCTGGGTGGGGAAGGGTCTGAAGTTTCTGTTTGGTCATCAGGGCAGAGGCCTGGCCATATTTCCTTTGTGAGCATCAGGCACAAAGAAGACAGTTGTAATTGTTTTGGGGGTTCTTCATAGGCCCAACCCCACTTTGGGCAGAGATGACTCTGGGAATGCAGGGAATCCCGCTTGGTGAATATTCTTCCAGAGAAGAGTGCTGTTTCTGTGTCTGGGGCATTGGCTCATAGGGCTTCTGTAGTGATTCTGTGGTGCTGTTCTGATGACACCAAGTGACTTTGCACCACAGATGCTTCCTCAGGACTCTGGCTATTTTCTGTCACTCTGGTACAGTCACCTGACGGATGGCTGGAAAAGGAGAGCAGGACTGATGTTACTGTTTTGCTCACGATTCCCAGTCATTCTGTAGTTCAGCCTCCCACACTCATCACCCCGACTTCTTGTTTTCCTATAGAATCCTAAGAGAATTTTTCTTCTACTTCCAACTCAGAAGCTTAAAAGTAGACCAGAAAGGGCCTTGTTTTTGTGAGTGCATCTCAGTGTGAGAGGCTTTCCTATTTTCCTTGCTCTTTGTAGAGCACCTGTTTCCCATTAGTTAATTCACTGCATAATCCAGGCTTTGCATTTCTTTTCTTTTCTTTTTTTAGATTGGAATATAGTTTATTTAAAAGTAAATTAGAGGGAGAGAGATAAAAAGAAAATTCACCTTCCCAAGGTAGGGAAGGGGGCCAATGCCAGGAAATATGACCTGGCCTTAGCTCAAAGAGCACATGGCCACACCATAGCTTAGCAAGGCAATGGCAGCGATGGTCTGGCAGTGGCAAAATGGCTTCTCGTGGTTGAGTCCTTTTAACCATTTCCCTTGGATGGGGCAGGTCATTAAGGTGATTGGGTGGTGGTCTGCTCACATCATCACAAAGGGGCAGGTGAGCACAGGTACTGACGTCAGGTGATGGACAGCAGGCAGATGGATGGGTTAGTCATATGATTGCTGCCATGATGGTGGAATATAGATGAGAGGAGACAAGGGAAGGGGGTTTTCCTGCAACAGACTTGTTAGACATTTGCAATCCATAAACTCCTTGACCAAAAGGTGGTCTATTATCATTTCTGTGGTTTTGGCCAGCCAAGGGATGATCTTTGATCTTTTGCCTTGACAAGGAACTGGAGAAGTTTCCTAGAGATTATTATGCTAAACTGTGAATTGAAAGGTTGAGCTGTTGGGCTATCCTGGCTTTATATCTGATGGAGATTTGGCTGAGGGGGTAGGTTAGGCTGCTTCTTGGCTTGTAGTAGAAGGTCTGAATGCTTCCTAAAACCTACCTATTGGAAATGTATCTATCTCCAATCTGTGCTAGATTCAAAGCATATCAGGGGTAAAGCCAAAAATGGCTATGATGAGGCAAAAAGACTACGCTAAGCTAAGTTTATTCTAGGTTTTTATAGGTACTTCGTTTCAACAGTTGTTTGAGAAAGTAAGTTAGAGAGAGAAGATTCACTTCCCCAAGGTAGGGGAGGGGACCAAAGCTTAGGTAGACATGGCAGTTGTAGCTCAGTGAACATGTGGCCTGGCCAGGGCTTAACAAAAACAATGTCCAGTCTTTGCATTATTTTTACCTTCTGCAGTTGAGAAAAACATTTTTCCAGTGGGTGAGTGTGTTGTGCTTAAGTTCTTAGCAGGACAGTATTCGGTCTCTCTGTGATGTTATTCATGGCGAAACTTGATCAGTATCAAGGCAGGCAGAAGGGATGCTTGTCAAATGGCACAGACAGATAAAAGTTGCTCAAGGCCTGATGCAGGGATTTAGCTTCCTTTCACCTCCTCACTGATGTTCTGGAGAAGAGCTCAGCTGGAGTTTCCTTCCTATTCCCTGAAGCTGGAATGGTTCTTTTCTTGGCTCTCTTTTTAGGTTTTAGTTCAACTCTCTCACTACAGCTTTGTCCACGCCTCGTTCTAACCAGTGTTGGGAACTGTTCTTAGGTTCCATGCCATGTGCAGGGAGAGCAGGAGGAGACAGCACTTTGCAGAGGCACCTGGGAACCAGGTGTCCACCTGGGACCAGTGGAGGTCAAGCCCGAGTGGGGGATGATGCCCCACAGAGAAGGAGTTCAAGGCCTAGACCAAGGACCCGAGGAGCAGCTCAGCCAGAACCCTGGAGACGGAACACAGGCCTTCCAGGAGCAGGGTAAGGTGCAAACAGTGAGTGCACTGAAAAGTGCTTTGCAGCCGACCCCCTTCAGAAACCCAGCAGTAAATAAACTGAGTCACCTACAAGGTGTAATTCTGAATTTTCTTGGCTTTTCCTCAACTTTCGTAGGAAATAGATGAAGTGAAATTGTTTCCTCTGCTTTGACCCTGGTTTTGGGAGGTGATATCTGGATCATGTTCTCTCAGTGTTTCTCTCCTTCTTTCCCTCAGATTCCTTTCAGAAACCACTAGGAAATACTCAGTTGAATCATAGGAATAGTTTTCAAGTGGGCAGACAAACCATATTCCTAGAAGTAATATGCTGTTTTCTTACTGACTCTCAGAATGTGATGAGAGAGATAGCATGAATACTCTGAAGGGACAGGGCTGGGCAGTCTTCTCAGCTGAGAATAGGGCAGGAGACACCCCAACCTCTGTGTGTGTGGGAAAGTGTGGCACTAAAGTGATTCTGTTTGGAGTTTCCTGGTTCCCGAGGTCGTGTGTGTCAAGTAGGGGACACCTTTGAATGAAGTAACTGCATGACTGCATTGATCCTTCTTGTGCTTTTTGTTCCTGCTTAGCATTGCCTGTTCTTCAGACGGGTCCTGGCCTACCCACCGTGAACACTAGAGACCAGGAGATGGCAGCTGGATTCTTTACGTCTGGATCCCAGGTGAGCTGTGACTGCTCTTCTGGAGATCATGGTGTTGCTTTATGGAGGTTCACCTTCCCCAAGGTCTCTCTACACAACAAAGTTGAGTCATGCTCTCTTTCTAGTCCTGGTGGACCTGATGGCATTGTCTTCTCTGCTTTACCCCCCATCCCCAGTTGTTGATTTGTGTGGAGCCTTATGTTTGAACCCTAAGCCACAGATTGACTCTTAGAATCATGAAGAGAAAGACTTGAGTAGAAACCCCACAGGACTGTCTAGGTCCTGAGGGTTGGCCCCGAGATGAAGAACTCTTTGTGGATGTCCTTTATGGATGCATCTGCTGCTGCTGTTCTCTGGGCCCCCACCCCAGCATCAGCAGGAATGTGGCTGACTCAGGGTTGGCTCCTAGGAGTGCTGACAGGCCACGCAGGCCACACCAGGTGTTGGGGCCTTGTTAACGTGGCTCACCTGCCACAGGTGGGGTAACTGAAGCATGGATGGGGCACTCTGTCTGCCACAGGGTGCTGTACACTACCAGGGAAGTGATGGGATGGGGGCATCTTTCTGAAGAGGGTGAGTCTTAAAGTGTCCCTTGAAGCAGAAAAGGTATTGTTTGGCAGAAAGAAAGAAGTGAGTCAAGTCGGACCTAGCTAAAGCTGTATTTGGGCAAGATTTCATGCCAGCAGCATAACCTGTTCCTGTTTTCCAGGAACATGGGGTATGGAGTGATATCGGTGTTTTTTAATTGGTTGGCTCTTCCTCTTCTACCTTAATAGTTTTTGGTGTAGTGGATGAGAAAATGGGAATGCATTTATTTTAACATGGGGCTGTTCTTAAGATGGGGCTTGCCTGAATCTGAACTTACCTGAGGTAAGGTAAATGGCAGCTCCCAGGCTCTGTCAAGCATAAGTTGTGCGTGGGGGTGCCTGCAGAGTGGAACTGGGGCACTGTGGTTGTTAGGGGCAAGCTGAGCCACTGCAGCTGAGGGTCAAAATGCAGTGACTCAGACAAGTCAGTTGCGCTCATCACATTGTTGGGAGGGAGGCAGTTCTGTTCCCAGGGCAACAGGGAGGGAGTTTTTGTGTCTCCTGCTCTGCTCTTCCTTCTGGTCATCCCACATGTCTGCTCCTGCTTTTAGATCGCTCCTTCTCAGGGTTCTGTCTTTACTTGCAACAATCTCCTGTTGTTTCAGGGGTTGGGGCCATTTAAAGATATGGCCCTGGCCTTCCCTGAGGAGGAGTGGAGGCACGTGACCCCAGCCCAGATAGACTGCTTTGGGGAGTACGTGGAACCACAGGACTGTGGGGTCTCTTCAGGTAAGACTGTCTTCACCCCATAGGTGAGAAACTGAGGAGTTTCAGAAGTTCAGGTCAGGCTTCCTGCCCTAGCCCTACTGCTCCTGGCAAAGGAAGGGGATTTCATGGCAGACAAGCAAATGGGTCCAGAGGAAAGAGCACAGGACGGGGGAGGGAGGAGCTGGATTGGTGCATTCTTGTGTTGAGAGAGGAGCCAGGCGATGGAGCAGGAAAATGAGAGGCTGGTATCCTGGTTGAAGACAGGTCGGTGATTAGGTTCCCCAAACACCTGCTCTGTGTCCCGTGATTGAAGGGTACTGAAGGCTTGAGAGCAAGAGAATAACAGCAAAAAATGAAGCATCTGATCTCGTTCATTCAGCAGATGCTTATGGAGCACTCTCTGCGTGCAGGCCTCTCTCAGTAGCTTTGTGTTGGTGCAGGAAGTGGGCAGCACTGACATCATGAAACTGTCGGGACACGTGGTGTGTGTGTAGGAGCACACGAGGACACACAATGGGGCCTTAGCAATGGGAGAAGACAGTGTGGGCCCGAGTCACAGAGGGAGCCAGAGCCTTGCTGGGGCCTCAGGTGGGGGCTGGGTTTGACCTGGGATCCGAGCCTTGGGGGATGTGGTCATCGTGCCCAGGACAGCAGCTCACAGGAGGAGGAGTGCAAGAGAGAGTGAGGAAAGCGCAGGTTGAGGGCCTGCAGGGCCTGCAGGCAGAGGGCACTGTGGGCTTGGGGACTGCCAGGGTGAAGAGTGAGGTGGAGAATCTCTGTGGGTGGAGTGAGGAGGGCAGCAGGGAGAGGAAACCACGTGACTGGGCAAGGAATTTTCCTTGTTCCCCTCTGATTTTCCTCCTTTTTTATACCTCCTTGTGAGTTATACGCTGACAACCCCTCTGTACTGACCCTACCTCCACTTTCCTCATCCTGAAATACCTTGAAGGATGAGCAGGAATGTCCTTGTGAATCCTTTAGGGCACAAGAGAATCCATCCTAGCTCCACTACTGTAACTTTGGGCATCTCCCTTGACCTTTTCAGGCCTCAGTTTACTCAGCCATGAAATGGATCTCTTAGAGGACACAGTCTCATGGTGCCATGAGGATGAAAGGAAATAATATATGCAACCATGAGAGAGTTAGATCATCTTGTGAGTTGTATAAATACTATTGTGTGATTCTTTTATGAGTCCATCGACATTCATTCGCTTCTTTGCCCACCGAGATGGATTTGGCACCTACTGTGCTCCACTGGTTACTGTGAAGAGTTAAAAATAAAGGCCCTTGTGTCTTGGGGTCTTAGACTTTAGGTGAAGAGGCCCTGTCCATGTAATTATGGTTATTATGGAATGAAGTAAGAGGTACCAGGGTGTTGGGAGACCTGGATTCAGGACCAGGATGTCACAGCTCAACAGTGTCATGAGTAGCCAAGAGATGCCAGCATATTTTATGTAGAGATGTGTGACTGCTGTAATGGCAAAAGACACGGGAACTCTCAGGGATTCCGCGCAAAGCAGGGGCTCGAGTGACGCACCCCAGACAGAGGTGCTTTCTCAGCCTTTCAGTCCCCCTCAGGGATGTACCTCTGCTGGTGATGCTGCTTTGTTGGATCAGGGTTCTGCCCTCCTGTTCTCAAGGGCTTTTTATATCCTCCTGGCAACTTCTGACTGTTTTGGGAACTCTGGTTCTGTGCTTGTCCTCTTACCAGCTCAGTGTTTCAGGACAAGCCAAGCGCATGCCTAAGTGTTTCTGCTGAGGGTAAGGTCCATTTCCCAAGCATCCCAGTTGCCAGCTGTCCCAGCCTTCATGTCTTCCTGAGATGCTCGTATCACGATTGCTGTCTGGGGCTGGATCTAGCCGCTTCATCTCTAAAGAGGATGACATGTGGGGGAAGATGTGGGTTAGATGGCTGCTCAGATCCCTTCCTGCTCCTAGTCAGTTCTCATTAGTTCTACAATGATTAACTGTAGACCTTGTGGTCTAGATTGTAATTGTAGTAACGGTGAGGGGGAGGGTGGAGACATAGGAGGGGCGGGATTTGGAATATGATTGTGCACACACTGAACAGAGGAATCTGTTGGGTGGTTCCCAGGATGGTCAGGGCCTTGGAGTGTTCAGAGGAGTAAAAAGAGTAAAAAAGAGGTTAGAGTAAGTAGAGTCAGGCCAGCTATGAGAACTGTGGCTCTTTGTTTTAAAAGTTTCCAACACAGAGTAATGTGGGAGTTTAACTTGAGGGATACAGTCAGCATGGAGGGTTGAAGTAATGCAGGCATAAGGTTAAGAGCAGGAACCGGCTGGATAGCTGTGAAAAGGAGGTGTACTGAAACATGTTTCCAAGGATGGGTCACACATTGGCAGAGAGGAAAGAGAAGAGTCAGAGAGGAGGCTGTGGTCTTGGCTAGGGGATTGAAGAAATGATGTTGCTGCTGTCAGAAAGGGAGGGAAATGTTTTCCTAAGGGGAAGAAGAGAATGGAGGGTTCTGCCTGTTGAGTTTGAGATCCAAGTGGAGAGTCTCTGGAAATTCCTGGTCTGAGGACTAAAAATATTACTACCTAACCATTGTACACCTGCTCTGTGCATGCAGCAAACCTCATGAGTGCGTAATCCATTTTGAAGGTGAAAAATATAAGGCTCAGAGAGGTTAACTGATTTTTCCAATTGAGCAGCCAATACAATATTCAAAACCAGATCTCTGACCAGTTCTCTTTCCACTACTGCTTCTTGTTCCCCATGTCTTTATCTTTACCCATACATTTTTGTTCTATTTTCCCCCCAGCTTTATATTTTGAACTTTTATTATAAAAATTGTTAAACATACAGAAAAGCTAAGACTAGTGCAGGTATACCTTTATCTAGATTTAACAGTTGTTAGCATATGCCATGGTAATCTATAAAATGTGTGTGTTTCTGGAATGATTTGTAAATTGGAGACATCCTGATATTTCACTCCTAAACACTTCAGCATGTATCTCCTAACAGAGACATTCCCAACATAACTCAGTATTATAATTCCACCTAAGAAACTAAGCTTAAGTTCCATAGGTATAATATTTAATTTACATTTGGGTTCCCAGGATCTAGTTGAGGTTCATGCATTGCATTTATTGTAATTTTTACTGTTAACACCTCAAAACTGGAAGCTACCCAAATTAACAAATTAAGAAATAAATAGATCGTAATATAGTCTTGTGGCGAAATACTATGTATCAATGAGAAAGAACAAACTGCATCTATACATCATGGCGTGGGTGAATCTCACAAACATAATATTGGGCAGAAGAAGCCAGAAACCATGTGTGAATCAAGTACATAAAGTTAAAGAACAGATTGAAAAACATGTGGGCAGTATATTCGTCTTGGGGGCAGGGGGTAGCAGTGGAGAGGTGGGGAGGGGCTTCTGGAGGCTGCTTGTGTGGTGTTTCTTGATCTGGATGGTGCTTACACAGTTGGATCTGTCCTGAAAGCTCAGCTCTACGTTTATGTTTTGTGCACTTTTGTTTTCTCGAAAAGTTTACAAAACAAAAGAGTAAATCCAATGTGATATCTGTGTATTTCATATTTTAGCAAAGAAGGAGGCACATAATGTCAGTTTCTTTTTATCTTCTAATGACCTTG